AGAGAGCTGCTGCACTATCAACTTTTCTCTGCGGAGCCGAATCCTAAGTCAATCCATTTTCTGTTTTAAATGATCAAATGTAGTAGTCAGATGAGACAGCCGAGCCATACACGAAGATAAGAATAATGTGAAAAACATTTAAATTTATTTGATTTCATATCAAACAATCGCCTAACATTCGCGCGGGCTACCTGTGTCTTTTGTGGGATTCCTTATTTTCAAGGATGGGAGGGGACTAGGACAAAATTATAATGGCCGACATGTTGAAAAGCGATTTCTCTGCAAATTCTGTAAGTTTTAGCCATTTTAAAGCACTAAAAGGTGGAAAAAACTTGAAAAAAATATTTCTAAACATACTTCCTTATAAGGTAAGATTACCATATATGGTCAGCAAAAGTTTGGCAAACGAATAAATTTTTCTCTGAGGCAATTGTTTGATATGGAAAACACTAAAACGTAAAAGCCTTACAATTTCCAAGTCCATTTTCAAGCACGAAAAAAGAGGAGAACATATGCGGCGACCATGATTTTGGTTTTGTCTTAGAATATAGTCGTAATTCAGCATAACCAAGTAAGTTGAAAGACAAAGAGCGCTTTGAGCCACAAATCCTTGACATTTGTTCAGAATATCCTCGGGCGTCATAAATACTCAATTTGAAGTCCCTAGAACAGAAAGTAATTAACACTAAGGATTTCAATATAAATTATAATTTTGTTTATGCAGCGTTTACGGTTATAGTTTAATTCAATATGACAATGCCGAGCATCACAATAGTATATTGCCCTGCCAATCGTATGAAATCGATTGTAGGAAATTGTAAAAGCACTTCTATATCATTTTATTCTCCGTTCAAGGGGAGAAAAGAAACTTTTATTTCCATTGATTGGATGGAACACTTCATTTCCAATTCCAACCTCAAAATGTTCACACGCTAATCGCGGAATAGTTCCTAAGAGCTCATTTTTAACTCGAAGAGTTATTGGAGGGGGACGAGTCTGTCACTCACTCAGTCACTCAGTCACTCACTTTCCTGTAAACTTGAGCCTTCGTTACTTGTGTTCAGAATTATAATTTATTCTCATTGTTCTCTATTGATTTACTCATTTAGTTACAGTTACCGGGTTCCCTGATCTGTATTTGGTTGAATTTATTTCTTTTTTGACAAAAAGAAGATTTGCTCCGCCTTTGCTTTGATTTTGTTCTGGTATTCTGGTTTTCCTTGCGAATAATTTTTATTAGGCAAACTCAATTTTTTTTTGCCTACCTACATGTTACGTCTTGAAGTTTATATAGTGTTTGCTTAATAATTGAACTCCAAAGATATCGATCATTGATTTCCATGAGGGAAGTTGTGTTTTCTTAGGGATTCAGTTGTTATTGTTTTTTGACACTTGCGGTTATTAGCGGGCTAGCTGTGCTAGCCAGCTATAGTTTTACCTTTTCTCCACTCTGTCGGGTCGCAGTTTCCAGTCTCTCTCGAACCACAGGAAGCCATATCTATCATATCTATTAGTTTGCAGTCTCTCTGGAACTGAAAATTTTCTCAAGAATCCAAAATGGCGGGTACTTCGCCGATAACAGAGAAAAAAGTACTCAAAAACTATCAACAAGAAATACCAAAAGCTTTCTCATTGAAGAATTGAACTAGGATATTGCATTTGTGAAGTTTCAAGCTTGCTAGTTATCATTTTAAGACGATTTTGCATCGAAAATAGTCTCGCCTTCCTCACCAGTCCAGCTCGATGATTATTCAGTACAGCTTCAACATGAAATCAGCTCAAATACTGGCTTTTTTCCACATTTATAGACAGCAAAAGGTATTTTTCTGTTTAAATGACAATNACGTTATTTCATGTCTATTTTACGGCATAATTTGCTTTCATTTGTAATTATATGATAAACAAAATATTATATGGTCGCTTGGAGATACGAATTTTATCTTCTCGTGTTGAAAAATCTCTCACTCGTTCGCTACGCGCACTCGGGAGAGATCTTTTCAACACTCGAAGATAAAATCCGTATCCCTGCGCGCCCATGTAATATCCTCTATTTATCGCCTATAATTATCCATGAAATACCTATTTCACGTTCGTGGTGTATCTATATAGGTACTGAAAAATTGTCAGTATTAATGAAAACGAACGCGATATAGATGAATGAAAAATGGTCCCGTGTGGATTCATGTTCATTGTGTTCTGGTTCATTTGTACTGAAAAATTGTCTCTAAATAGCCGCTATTTGTTAGTATTTAGTTTGATTTTATTTCATGGTTTTCCTGTGTTTGCTCTATATGGATGTACATATTATACAGGGTCACTGATGTAGGAAAAGAATTAAGGCCTCTAATGWACAAATTGAGGCTTCGTTTATTATTTATTCAATCGCACGACACACACTTGCCTTTGGATTAATGCAGTTATATAAATTAAACAATAATCGTATGAGGAAGTAGCTGATCCCATTAAAGAGTGCTCAATACACATAAAGTGTAGAGCTAGCTAAGTAGTTATATATAATATCAAAGAGTTTCGTGCTACGCACTCATCAGACAGTATTTTAATCTACTAAAATACTGTCTGATGAGCGCGTAGCACGAAACTCGGAGTAACAGCAAAATCTTGCCTCTTTGATATCATATATATAAATTAAACAATAATTATTAATAACAGTAAAGTGGATAAAATCTTGAATTTGGATGGGCAAAAATTAGGTTTCACTTTTGACTAAGCCTTACTTGTTGAAAAAGAATAGTATTCGTATGGTCCTATTCCAGCTGCAGTGTAACCTCTAATTTCCACTCTATATTTCGTCGCAGGTRAAAGATCTTTAAATTCCACCGATGTATCATTGGTGTTTATTTCTTTTTGGTAGGCGAAATAACGGTAGAGTTKTACAGTATATCCAAGAAGAATACCATGAGTATATTTTCTGTGGAGTGGCTTCCAGTTAATAACTGCTCTATCTGCTGTAATTTCACTCGTGCGGTTATCTATTTGGGGACCAATACTTGGGACTACGAAACAAAGAAACCGTGATCAAGTAATCAAAACAGAACATGCAAGCCAATGATCTTTCAATAAACCTAAAAAGACCCCTGGAAAGTGAAGAAGAAGGCTTCAAAATTTGAAAATGGGGAACATTTAAGGTAAACATCGCTCATGCCAAGGGAATAAAATAGCAGGGTAAGAAGAAGCGTCGAAAGAAGAAGAAGAACAACAACAACAACAGCAACAACAACAACAACAAAGGAAGGACAAAAAATATCAAAATTTGACATAGATTCTGATAGTTTTTTTTTTTAAAGAACCTACATGATTCAGGAGTTGTTATTGACGCCATTAAACTCTTGTATGCCGTATATGTCCCATTCTCTTGATTTTTTAACATCACCAACACGTACACGTCATAGTTAGTGTACCCGGTCAGCCCATAACAAGTTGCAGAAGTTGAACTGTTTTCTCCAAATGCGTAAACTGCCTCGTTAGCCCAATTTTGTTTTGAATTRCAAGTAATCAAAAATCCAAAAATATCATTGCCTCGAACATTAGTTTGATTCCAATTTGCAGTGATTCTGTCATAGTTGTAGCTCGAGAGTGATATGGTCCATTTGTTTAGAAGAGGCACTGTAAAAGAGGTTATAAAAAAGTGTTATGTCAAGCCTTGAAATGCAAGGCTGATTTAAATTCAATAACAAGGCTGTCGCTTGTTCCGTTATTTGATTAAGCAGGATTTATGTGACAACACTTGATGTTACTACGAAGAAGCTCCTGAGAWTCCTTGCAGGAGACCGCGATTTCTACCATTTGCTCATCAGCGCTTTATCGCAGCCCAAAACTAGCAAAGGTTTCAGTTTTAGAGTTTTAATGTCGCATCATCGACCTTTACTAGGTTTTATATCAGTTTCAATCAATCTGCAGACATTACTGAAGCATAGACCAGCCGTTCTTCCGTGTGGAATCAAAATTATTTCAATTGTGGCGCATGCACATGCTCCTTAGAAGTTCAATATACATTATCGTTGCTTTCGCATTTTTTGGGTTTTTCCTAAAATGATATAACAAATTCTCGATGTGTAGCTTACTCTACAGATTCTCAAAAGAAAATCACGAGAAAATGCTGTTAGTACAATAGCGCTAATAATTTAAAATTTCCCCGAGTTGAGGCTAACCTTGTGTCTCAAGAAAACTCATACCCTTATTAGGGAATACAGAGTTTTGGGGAAAATGCAAAAAGTTTATTGTAATAACGACATATTTTCAGTCTGGTGCCCTATTTTGTGTTCGATCAGATCTTCTCGCAAGAGAATCTTGTGTCAAAAAAATCGGAGGTTTTTCGCTGTGAAATCGAAACAACAAACAAAAAAGTAACACCACCAACAACAAATGGAGCACCACTAATAGAGTCATTTTATCCGTCTGTGAAACAATTACTACTAGTCAGTGTTTAATAGTAACTATTAGGGTGTAGTAGGTTACATAAGGGGGTAATTTGCCTTAGTTAAACTGGAGTGGTTCTCATTAACCCRTGAAACAAAGTGTAATAGTTAAAGTGTAATAAAGTGTAATAGCCAAGAAATATAATAGAAAACAAAAGAGCCAAAKTGTAATAGTGATAAATACGCTCAAGTGTGTTTCACGGGTTAATGGGAGCTAATATAGGGGTTAATAGTATTTAATAGCACAATTCCTATTTCATAGACGAAGATCATAATAATAATTATAATAAATTACTTAAGGTACTGACCTTCAAGCTTCTTTGAAATTACATAGAAAGACAGGCGAATATTTTGACTATCGTGGCTGCAAGATGAATGCGGTCCCCAGCGACAGGTTATCTCTGAGTAAAATCTGACAACTGCAGATCGCCTTTTAATCAAAACTTCAAATGAACGCCCCCTTCCACATTTCTTAACTTTAAACTGGTGAYTCACATCAGAGATCTCGACGTATTTACGTTGAGCAGTACTGCAGCAAAGGAAATGTAGAATTATCCAAATTGTAATACTTATTGCAGGAGAAGAAATGACTACAGCTGATGAGATGAAAGCAATTAAAAGGTTACCCCGGATACCACCGAGAGTTGTTTTTTTTTAATCTCTTCCGATTTAATAGGAAACTCGCAAAAATTAGACGTTTTCTGGAAGATAAAATGACAAAATTCTAAAAGATTTGAAAGAAATAGCCTCAGGGGTAACCTTAATCGTGTAAATGCTCAAATTTCTGTTGTGTCTTATACACCTGTTTAATTGCAAAAACGCAGAAACTATCCATAGAAAAACAAACCAAAAAATGGATTTTCATTATCTTTTTTATCATACTAAAATTAGTTTCATGCATAAAGTCAAGTCGAAGAATATGTATACATAACAAAAACTTGCAAACAAAAAGATCAAAAACAAAACCGAAAAACGCAACACACATGCGCGAAATTCTCAGCTCAGCTCACTTAGTTTACTTTACCAAACACTACAGCGTCAAAAAATAAAGTACTTACAAGCAATGTTTTCCCAGATCAAAGGGTTCGAATTTGATGACTATGACGTCGATATCACTTCTGCCTTTACCAATTGTCCACGAACAGTTTGACGGCCTGCTCAAGTAGGTTTCATTGATCAAGTACTCCCCGCTGTCTCCATTGAGATTGGTAATGCACCCTGCAGAACAATGAAAATAACTTAAATTAGAGACTATGCAGTATTTACCAGGAGAGCACTTTATGTGCTTAAAGAGGGGGGGGGGGGGGGGGGCAACGTCTAAAATTAACTAGAACTTTCATTGAAAATGAAAAATAAATAGTGTCAGACTTGAAAACTTCTCAAGAAGTTCTTTATTTATTTACTGTCTTCTGCCCTTCCCCAGTCCCCCTTCGCTCAAAAGTTGTGTTTTTTAATGATCTTTCTAATTTGCTACTCGTTTATTGCTTCTCAAGTACAGTAGAAGCTAGTTACAAACTACGATTAATATGTTCGACACAGGCTGGGGCTGAGAAAGCTCGCCTAGAAAGACTTTTCGCAGTCAAAGCGCTTGTGTAGTAGGAATTCCAAACTCAAGCACTTTCCATACTTTGCTTGGCTGTGCACGCACGAAGTGCACGAGAGCCCTCTACGTTTTTCTAGTCGTTACCGATCTTCGTATTCACCGTGCCAATTGTCTTATTTAATCTAATTAAGTTGTATATATTTTACTAAGGTTCAAGGTTCTGCAGATTATGCCTGCTAAGTGCCAAGTAACGTGCAGTGTAATATAATATTAGAGCGTCTAGTTCATTCTATTTTTACAATTTGGTGCCGTGGGTTGGAGTCGTCTCGCATATTTATTGTGACGAGCTGAAAAAAATATCCCATGATTAAATGTTATTCTATTTCGTCTCACTACACGACCGATAGATCAAGCAACTAAAATCGCACATGTAAACAGTCCTGCGATTGTCGATGGGAAATCGCCTCCAAGTCGCAGTCAATTTTCAAACATGTCGTCTACGTCTCCTACTTTGGATTTTGTTGTCTGCCACACAGCATACTCCATAACATGAACTGTAATCCTAGTAAAGAATGCAGATGTTTCTTGGATAGAGAAATGCAATGAGAGTTGTAACTGGCAAATCATAATCTTTTACATCTGTAACTTTACTCTGACAGCAGGGTTGACTTGTGCCACTAAACGTGTTGAAATTGCATGAGCTTGCTTATTATAATCGACGAACGAAGCGAAAGGAGTTTAGCTCTCTAGATACAATAGTTTTTGAAAATTATTTAAAAGAAACAGAAAAAGACACATTAAACATCACGCACGGATGCAGACGTGACTCAATCTGGCTAGAAAATGAACCTGCGTAAAGCTTTACAAACCTCAACGTTCACCCTGATAGTCATTTTTTACACCACCCTTCTATTATAACCTAAACCAATGTACTAATGCATTTTCTTACACAAAATGAATGATTTAGAATAACAATATAAAGGGCACGGATCTCAAAGAATTAGCACCATTTTTGGCGATTATAGTTAAACACACATAGCTTACTATGATCGACGGGATAACTGATCGACCAGTTATCCCTATATTCAGAAATATTTGAATGAAAATTTATAGATTGTACAATTTTCTAAACATAAGTGGTAACTGAATGGGAGCGGGGAGGGTTTATTAGCGGGCTAGCTGTGCTAGCCAGCTATAGTTTTACCTTTTTTCTGTCGTGTCGCAGTTTCCAGTCTCTCTTGAACCACAGGAAGCCTATTAGTTTGCAGTCTCTCTCGAACTGAAAATTTTCTCAAGAATCCAAAATGGCGGGTACTTCGCCGATAACAGAGAAAAAAGTACTCAAAAACTATCAACAAGAAATACCAAAAGCTTTCTCATTGACGAATTGAACTAGGATTTTGCATTTGTGAAGTTTCAAGCTTGCTAGTTTATCATTTTAAGACGATTTTGCATCGAAAATAGTCTCGCCTTCCTCACCAGTCCAGCCACAGTGACTATATATATATAGGTAGGGGATATTTTCTAAAACCCATTTAT